GTGCTGAAGCCCCCTCCTCCTCTCGCTGTCGTGGTTTCCAATCCCACCGAGGCCTCCGAGTTTTTCACAATTGGGTCAAATCATTAATATCTTTTCCTCCCAGTCATTATAACTAAACTCAGCTGAGATTCACCAGTACACCCACCTCGTGAGGCTGTAATGGTCATACTTGCCTGTCTGCGACCGACAAACTATCGGCTATTGTCGAAAACGCAACCATTCGAATCATGATTGTCTGTGACTGTCTGGACAGTAAAATATGACAGCTGTTTAGTCCCTTCTCTTTCCACTGTCACCTGTTATTTGACGATATGGCAGCAAATAAGTTGTATCTTAGCCAGCACCATTGTGGCGGAAAGCCCGTATTGCTGTCCGACTTCCTTGTTCAATGGCCACTGCCTCAACGTCCTGCAACTTCGCAGGGAGCGTTTTCCGACTCACTGAACTGCAGAAACTTGACCGATTTTCACCCGCGCACACACCCGCGCGTGTCCATTTAGTCGCAACCGCTTAAGGGCTACTTGAACCCCCTCCTCCTCTCCCCCCAGATCATACAACACACTACTTGATCTTGCTGCATAATCACATAACAGCAGCTGTCAGCATTATCCGACTCTGTTTCTCAAAAATGACTGGACGCAGTCAACAATCGCACTACCTTCTAGTAGCCACTGCTGCCTGAGACAGCAACTCAGGGTCCCGTGCCTTTTGTCTTTTCCAACAAGTGGCGATTGGATCTCATGCTTGTAGGGATCCGAGTACAAACACAGCTGGGGGACCCTAATCGGAGTGGATGTTCACGAGGTCTTAAGCAAAAATAATGTTTCGCACATTCATTTGCGATGGGTTAGATTACATATGCTTTGGTGAGCTGCTAACTTTATGGATCTGCAGGGGCGAGCTTAAGAGCCTTGTGTGCCTGTCCGCGTGTATCTTTGCGCGTGAACAATTAACGACGGCAGCTGCCTCGACGTGTGTACATTCGCGTTTCAGTCAAGACACATGCTCGGCCATGAGCGCCCGGGAAAGTTCGCAGCATTGAAAAAAAGGCGTCTCGCATCGTTTCTGTGGTTGACTACAGCCTACAGTAGCTTCCCTATTCCGTGGAATGTCGACCGAAATCCTGAAACTTGTTTTATGATTTAAAAAAATACGTAAGATTCAGTATAAGTTTATTGAGGGGAAGTATAAGCGAATGCCTTTGAGCTCCCTGTTAGTAACAAGGTGGCTAAAAATGCATGGATAGAAAAGAAAAATGCAAAAATACTTCAATTACATGCTTGCAAGCGAAGAACAAAAAGCTGGCGGAGTCGAAA